ATTTTACTAATTTTCTTTCATCTCTGACACTTCTATTATAGAGAAAGGGCAAATAGCAATATTAAAATATTTTCTCTAATTCCCTTTTACTGTGCACGAATTTCATGCACCGGGCCACTAGTGTATGTATATACAAGGCTAATATGCTAAGTGTCCTTCCCACTGTCCAACTGGTCGTTATGACACGCACTTACCATCAGGAGCTGCCATGACACACACTTGCCATTTACCGAGAAGCAGCAGCGTGGACCTGGCCGATGTAGCAACACGTGCAACACTCAGCTTCTCCCAAGTGGGACACAGGCCCTGCCACCACCCTGGAGTGACAGCCACCAAGTCACAGCCAACGCTGCTGAAACCCTATGGCCAGCCTGAAAACAGTTGTTGTGGGTGCTGAGTAATGACGTCACGTAGCAACTCCCGACTTCCTGGCTTTCTCTCCCTAGCAACTTCCTCCTTGCAGTTTCTTCAGCCCAGGAACATGACTTGCTTTATAGCCAGGTGGAAACATTTACATTTTAACCAAATATCTGTGAAGCGCTTTCCCATGCCTCATCTCATTTGATACTCACAGAAGTTCTGAAGTAGGTAGATAGGAGACTTGGTGGAATCCTATTTTCTTTTCATTAGCCAGAAAACGGAGATTTAGAAAGCTTAGAAACTTGATCCAACTGAAAAGAAGTAAGAAATGGTATACCTTGAAAATGACTTCAGGTTTTCTCACTGTCCAGAATACAGCCAAACACTGCTGCAGTTAAATATTTTACCCTTCGTTCTCCCTTCGGGATCTACAATAATAATCTGCTTCATGTTGATATTTACTGCTGTGTTGCTGACAGTTACCTGAAAGAGAAGTTGGGGTTCTTCACTGGGCTGGAAAAAGTTTAGCTAAATCAGAAAGCAGGTCTAATTAAGCAAGTTTATTCTATATCTATAAAAGGTAAGTTGACTCACGCATGAGTGGTACATATAAAGCTCTTGTTGGCACCAATCACACACATGTGTTTTCATCTGTCATTGTCGATCGTGAATGTGACACTTCTTTTATAGAGAAAGGGTGAATAGTGATATTAAAATATTTTTTCTAATTAATTTCCTTTCAATGTGCACAAATTCGTGCACTAGGCCACTAGTATCATTAAAATGTTGATTAGAGGCCTGGTGCACGAAATTCATGCATGGGGGTGTCCCCTCAGCCCAGCCTGTACCTTCTCTCAATCTGGGACCCCCTTGGGGGTTGTCCGGCTGCCGCAGGGATTGGGCCTAAACCGGCAGTCCGACATCCCTCTCACAGTCCCAGACCGCTGGCTCCTAACCACTCGCCTGCCTGCCGGACCGCCCCTAACTGCTCACCTGCCTGCCTGATTGTCCCTAACTGCTTGCCTGCCTGCCTGATTGCCCCTAACCACCTCTGCCTCGGCCCCCGCCACGGTGGCTTTGTCCAGAAGGACATCTGGAATGACGTCGGGAAGGTCGTTTGGCTGTCCAGTCTAATTACCATATTTCGCTTTTATTATTATAGATGAGATACCATAGGAACTTAACTCTTGTTTATATTAATTAGCCTATAGTGAAATTGGTTTCATTATGTGTCATTTTGCTTTCAGTTGCAAAACCTATTTAACAACATTATGTGAGAACTCATTGTATATCCAATCATTTTAGTCTTACCAGATTCCCCATTCCTCTGAGGGTATGCCCCTTATCATGGAGTACCAGGTGTTATAACCTGGCCCCTTTACCCTCCTTTCCCAATGTTTCCTTTCCTCTTGAACTTTCTGCTCTGGCAGTACTGAATTACCTACAGTCCTCCTTGCCTTTGTATACACTATTGCCCTGTATCCACATTCAGTTTTGTTCAGAGTTCAAGACAGTTCAAGCAGTGTCTCTTAGTAAAGCCTTCCTTACTACTTGTTGCTACTAGTGCATAAAATGACGAATGCACTTACATAAGTGTTTTATTACACTTGGTTTTGTGCCTTTCTTTGCTTTTAGCAGAGAGTTTTGTAATGACAGGGAAGCTGATGTTCATTGTCGTAGCCCTAGTACTTGGCATTATAAATATTGAATGAATGACCATGTCGCTTAACCTAAGTAGAAACTTGTCTCTTAACTCTGGTTTTTCACTGCTATCTTAGTTATTTCCAATAGCATTTTTCACTGACCTAAATGTACTAAGTAAGTAGTCAGTATAAGTAGATGGGCATATCACTTAACCTGCAATATCTGCCTCTGTGCTCAGGCAATTTAACTTAAAATATCTCTGCATAGGTTAAGGTTGACATTTCTGGTTTTTGTGTTTTTCCCTTTATAATAGGTAAGTAACAGAAACCCATTTGACTTAGCTGAAACTAAAAAGAATTTTATGAACAAGGGTCAGAGTATATCTGGGCCAATGGAAGCCCTAAAGGATCCTCTCTTTTCATCTCTGTTTGCCACTTGTCTCTGTTCATCTGCTTCATCCCTCACTTTTCTCTGCTTCTTCATGGACATAACAGATTGTGACATCCCCATGGCTCCCCTGCTTATATTATACAGCTCTAGCCATCCACATAGATGGGCTGGATGTCTGTCTCATTTTTGTGTTTTCCAGGATAAGGATGTCATTGGCCAGCTTGGGCCAGATGTCCACCTCCAACCAGGGCAGGGCGGAGAGTCCTGGCCCGGCCATTTCATTCACAAAAGGTGTTAGGGCTCACCTTAGGCAGTGAAGGGATAGTGTTGTTGAGAGCAGATCCCTAAAACGTGTGTGCCATACTCTTATTAGGATAGATCCTTTTGACCAGAGGATAGTTGAGAGGAAGATGCATCAGAGAGCCAGGGAAACGTGTGTGTGTGTGTGTGTGTGTGTGTGTGTGTGTGTGCAGGAAATCTGACCAGATCTGGTACCAGTTGCCTCTAGGCTACAGTGGTGAAAATTTCCTCTGCATTGTTTAGAGTCCTGGCTTTAATTGATTCATTCTTTCCTCTTAATACAGAATGTTCATCTCGATTTAAGTGATAATGGAAAAATATTAAAACAAAGTGGGTTTTTAATGGTTGTTTACTCATGGATATGTTCATTATACTAATCACACATATGTTTTAAAAATAATGTACACTGTTCTGATCTTGCATCAGAAAAAGGATATGAACAGACTTGAAATAAATTATCTCTATTCTAGACACATTTTTATGTAGCTGACATTCCTTTGTGATGGAAATGGTAATATTAAAACACAGCAGGAATAACTTCTGGTGAAAATTAAAATCCATTGTCATACTTTAGCTACCCAGTTGTAAAACATACAAACAAAACCACTTGATTTTAACCTTTACTGTTCTCAGTGGGCCTCATGTCCCTCTCTGCCATACTGGCCACCATGCCCTTCTGGGTGTGAGTGGACAAGTGGCAAAGGCAAGAAAGTTAAGACAGAGACAAGCCACCAGAGGTGCTGCCCCCTGCCTTTGTGGTTCGGAAGGAACCTAGGAGCTGTCATACTTACTCATGTAAATATGACCTTCTTTGGATTCTCTTCTGGAAAAGAATTTCCAAGGGAGAGGTAGAGAATTGTCATGTCAGTGTGGCAACTTGAGACAGCGATTGGAACACACAAAGGCCAGTTAATTTATTTATTTTATTTATTTATTTTTATTGTTTAAATTCCAGGAATAATTACAAATCAATTTAATGAAGTGTGATATTTGGGGGGTGGGGGGATCAGCTAAACTACTTCCTAATTTAGTATTTCAAAGGACAGTGATTACAAATATCAACGCCACACTCTTTATCTCCAGCTAACACAGCACAAGTCTGCTGGGGGTGGGGAGGGCTCCTTCAGGTCCTGCTGGAGCCCTCGTAAACACTAAAAAGAACTATGATCTGCTTATCTGATTTTAGGTAAACCCACGGAGGCAGAGAGGAGCCATCTGTTTTCTTTTTTTAAATAAATCTTTATTGTTCAGATTATTACAGTTGTTCCTCTTTTTCC